CTCTCTGTCTAGGGGTCCCTCTGTCACTAAAGTGTAATAGTTCTCGAATGTGGGCTTTAAAAGGAATGGGAGATCGTTCTGAATAGAACACACCATCCTTCCATTGTCCCCAGAATCTGAATCAGAAACACTGAAAACAGCAACTACAGCTTCAGGACCATTTTCTGGGATGGAAGTAGTGAGCGAAGATATGGTGAGTTCAGGGGCATTGTCATTCACATCCACCACTGCAACAAGGACACTGCATTTTCCTGAAAAGCCACCACTGTCTGTGGCTACAATTTCCATGTTGTAATATGTTGTTGCCTCAAAATCCAGTACCCTTTTAAGACGAATTTCTCCTGTAACTTCATCTATTACAAATGGTTGAGAAACTCCACCGCCTTGAAACAGAGAGTAGGCTATATTTCCATAAGGTCCCATATCTAAATCCCTGGCAGAGACCGTGACAATTAAGGCATTGAGAGGGCTGTTCTCAGGGACCTGCACCTCATAGAGTGACTGTACAAACTGGGGGGCGTTATCATTGATGTCCATGACTTCAATGCGAACTGTTGTGGTCCCAGACCTGGGCGGAGACCCACCATCCACAGCAGTGAGGGTTAAAGTGAGCTCAGGCTGCTCCTCCCTGTCCAGGGCTTTGTCCAGCACCAGCTCTGGGTATTTGCTGCCATCAGTGCGACTCTGAGTAACCACGTGGAAATGGAGGTTGGGGCTGACTGTGTAGTTCTGAACAGCATTGCTCCCTATGTCAGAGTCCTGAGCTGCCTTCAGAGGAAACACAGTTCCTGGCTGGGCGCTTTCGGTGATTTTTAGGAGCATTTCCCTGTGAGGGAATTCTGGTGAATGGTCGTTTATGTCTGTGATCTGCAGGTCAGTTTGGAAGAACTGCACAGGGTTTTTCAGAATGAGCTGGAAATGCAGCACACAGGTGTCTGTTACCCCACATAGCACCTCGCGATCTGGTTTTTCCTTTAAGACCAAATTCCCGGTCTCTGCATCCAGCTGCAAGAGCTCTTTGTTTCCTTTGGAATGGATTTGCGCCCCTCTGGTGGCCAGTTCCCCCACCCTGAGCCCCAGATCTTTGGCCAGGTTAGCTACCAAGTATCCACTCTCCGTTTCTTCTGGCATGGAATATCTAATTGCCTCAGAATCAGCCTCCCACAAAAGCAGCAGCATAGTAAGGAAAACGACTTGCCTTTTCTCTGGTGTTTTTGCTTGAGTTGTCTCCATTGTTCAGATGCAGTCCGGAGGGCGCTGCTTCTTCAAGGGGATTGTAATCCACTTAGGTAAGGTTTGGAGAAATAACTTCGAATTAAATTTTCTTTAACGCTATTGTTCCTGGGGACATCTCCCCTAGATCACACTTCCTTACGTTCTCCTTCTGGGGAGCAGACAGCGTTCTGATTTTCAGCTTTCCTGGGCATCTGCAGAGCCCTTCATTCTTACTCTTAGTCAACAGCGCCACCAAGTGTCCATTTTCACAATTGCTTATAGTTCTGTCCTTCCAAATTCTAACCCTGCTTTTGAGGTACAGCTGTACCCTCTAGTTCATTCAGCTCTTAAGTATTAGTGGTGCTAAGCCTACCTTTGCTGAGCTGCACTTAACGTATATTTACTATGTAGTACATTAATGTGGTCTAGTAATCTTAAAATTCTTTTGAGAAAGTGAAAAACCTTTTTATGGGCTTATAATTTATTAAATTGAATGGTATATAATTAATTTTATACAGAAAAAATGAATTTCATACAATTTAATTTTTTAAATATAGAACATAGAAGTTTTTAAATATAGAATATAGGGACACAACAGGAACATTTTCCATGATTAATATGTTTCTATAAGCAGAAACTAAAAAAAACTAAAATGTACAATAACATACCATGTTCCTCTCTCCATTATTTTGTGACCAACTCTCTCTACAAAAACAGCATATTGACTGTTATCATTGCACATTATTCTATATTTGTTAGAACATTTATGTTTGTACAGTATTTCTCTCTTGTGCTGGTTGTCTGTCATTCAACATTGACTTTGTGAAGCTGATTTGTGACAAGTTGTCCTAACTAGTGTTCTTCTCACTGTTTTATATTGCTCCTCTGGAGAAGTGTGCCTTGATTCATTGATTCTACCCCTGCTGGTGAACTATGTTTTCAGTTTTGAACTTTGTTGAAGAGTAATACTGTGAACATTGCTGTATATGCCATTTTGCTGTAATATGTATTTTGAAGGCTTGGATTACTGTGCATTAAAATGTGATAATAAAAAAAATTGAGATTTAGCCTAGATTGTAAGTTTTTTTTTAATCAAAAGTGTGGTTTTACTGTTCCGGCCGTGGTGGCATGTAATCCCAGCCATGGTGAGACACAGAAGAGAAGTTTCAAGTCCAAAGGCAGAGCATTCCAAAGGATGGAGACATCTCAACTGTAGACCCCTTGTCTGGCGTACTCAAGGGTGATTCACAGCACAGTAAAACTTAAGCAAAAAGCAATAGAATGGGAGTTCCAGTTGCTCTCTGGTCTTGTCAACATTTTCTGTTATCATTTCAGTTTTAACCACTCTATTGAGCAAGTGATGATGCCATATTATAAGTTTAATTAGCATTTCTCTGGTGATTAATGAAATTATCCACATTTTCACGTGGATTTTTTCATTATGATACATTTTTTGAGATCAGTATTCAGGTCTTTAATTTTCTATTTGGAACATTTGCCTGCAGAAATAATCTTGTAAAGACAGGCACAGTGGTGCATGGCTAAAGGCATCCCAGCACTTGGGAGCGAGAGGAAGACAGATCTCTGTGAGTTCGGGAGATCACCGATGTCTTTTCTGTCACTACAGCTATTCCCTTTTCCAAAATGCCACGTAAGAATCAAAGGTTATGGAATCTTCAGCTTGTCTTACTCCACTTACTACATGCACTCAAGTCTTTGCAAGGCCTCTTCATGAGGCAATAGCCCCTTTTTATGTTAAACATTTCATTTTCTGCTTCTACCACAATGCATTTATCCGTTGACCTACTGAGGAATCTCCATTACTTTAAGTTTTGACATTTATGAATGAAGTTTCCAGAAGCATTCATGCTCCAATTTTTGGGTGGATGCGTTTTCAGTTCCTTTGCATGAGTGCTATAGAACATGATTACTGGATGACATAGTAAGAGTACACTCAATGTTACAAGACACTACCCAACTGTCTTTCAAAGTTATCATTCTCATCACCCAAGAATCAGAGTTCCTGGTGCTCCACACCCTCCTCAGCATTTGATGATGTTGGTGTTCTGCAATTTGGACATTCTAATAGCTGTGTTGTGGTGTCTCGGTATTATTTGAAGTAGCATTTCTTGAGAGACATACAATTTGTAACCATTTTTCACACTTATTGACCATGTGTGTGTCTTGTCTGCTAATGTGTCTTAGAGCGTTTTTATGTGCCACTGGTTTTTGTTGTTGTTGAGTCTTTAAAATCATGTATATTGTACACAGCCATCCTTTCTAGAATATGTCCTTTGGGAGCCTTTCTCCAATCTATAGTTTGACTTTTCATTTTCTTCATAGGATATTTTGCAGAAGAGAAGATTGATTGAGTTTTCAACATTATCAGTTCTTGTTCCATGAACTGTGCCTTCATTGTAGTAACTTTAATTTTATCCTCTTTAAAAATAAAAAATTAAAATTATATTGTTTGTATTTCCACATGACATATATATTAAGAAAAGACCTGAAATGTTTAAGATTTTATTGTTTTTATAAATTGATTGGGGGAGAACTTGATTTTCACCTGCAGAATCTTTTAGTTTGTGACCATTGCGTGAGTATTACTCAATTTATTTAGACTTAGCTTTTTCCCAAAATGCTGTATAGTTTTCTATACAATAGTGGTATGGCCAGGATGTTTTTAGATATTTTATGTTTTGAAACTTTTTTAAAGGCTAGTTAAACTTTTTTGATTTTCTATTTTTTCTTACTTCAGTTTTGGAAAACCATAGTTTAAATGATGATTTATAAGTTTTCAACTTTATTGGTACAAAATTGTTTAGAATATTAACCCTGCATGTTTTTGAGTCATTGTCTCTCTATATAGCCTTGACTGTCCTAGAACTCACTATGGAGACCAGGCTGGCCTCAGACTTACCCACCTGCCTCTGCCTCTGCCTCTGCCTTTCAAGAGCTGGGATTAAAGGCATGTGCTACCATCTCTGTCTCTTTCATTTTTAAAGAGACCTTTAGCATTGCAAGGTGCTGTTTTATCTTTTTTCTTGATTCATTTAAGAATTTTAAATACTATTATCATTAGAAAAACCCACTGTGGACTCATTTTCTTTCTTGTATACTTATCCTCTACTTCATTCACTGCTTCAGGTGTGTGGGTTCTGTCTGCCCTCTTTTTTAAAAATATGTATTTGATTTGCTGTGCCACTTCTAACTTCCTGAAATAAAACCTTAGTCATTTTTCTAATACTTGCAACTAAGATTTTAAGTTTTCAAGTTTTATAGTGATGTTAGTGGGTTTTTTTTGTTTGTTTTTTTTTTTGCATTTTAAAACAAGCTCTCTGGCTACATAGCCTAGGCTGGCTTTGAACATAAAGGTCTTTCTGCTTCCATCACTTTAGTTTCAATATTTCTGTTCTTAATTTTTTACCTTGTGGAAAATATTAGGAATTTCTGTTCTAAGTCATCTTTAAATCATGATTTCTATGATTTATGTTTGAAGCATTTCTGCATTTTTGTTATGTTTTTCATATCCATAGTCCTCGAATAACATTGTCTTAATATAGCATATTTCTGATATGTTTTCCTTTGTATTATTATAGATTTATCTTTATTTATAGCATTGTGTTTTTGCCTTAAAATCTCTTTGCATTGACTCAATGAATACAACTTCGTTGTTTCATTTTGGATGAAATTTGTACTAAATAATATGAAACTTTCAGTCTTTTCCTGTTTTATTTTCTCACACATAGATATTTACTCGACTGTGTATAATTTACACTTCTCTTAAATGTAGTTTGATAACATAGGTTGTGTAATTGGTTTTTTAATTCAGCTATAATTTATATAATATATATTTTCATCCATATTTAGGGTCTGTTTTCATTTGTTCCCTATGTTTTGTTCTTGCTATATTATTCAAATGTTTATTATCTGATTTTTCCTCAAATTAGTCTTTGAATCATTATTTAGAAGTTACATAAGAAGTTTCAGCAAAGCAGTTTCATCTACAATGATGTAGTAAAATAATTCATTTTCCTATTTCTATGGTAGTGCATAGAACTCTCTAAACAGCCCCGCCTTTTGCACGCCTGATTTCATGCATTTTATATGCATTTTTAAATCCTTTAAAAAACTGTTATTGTTGGAGACATAATCAACGCTCAGTCAATATTCACTTCCCATCATTTTTTCTTTCTTCCTGTAGTTCTTGCCTTTTGTTTTTTGGAGTTCTGCTAACATATTCCTTTCAGTGTTCATGTATCCTTCATTAATTTTCTTTGTCTGAAAACTTTTTAGAAGGTTCTGTTTGCTGGTAACAGAATTCTAGTGTGCTAATCATTTTCTTTGGAGATGTTGAAAATGTGGTTCATTTGTTGTTGGTATTATGATCCACGTTGAGAAGTTCTCACTCCATGTTACTGATGTTTCCTTAAAAATAACACATCTTTTTGTGTGGTTGCTAAAAGATTTTTTTTTTTTGCTTTTCTATTTGACTTTGATATTGCAAAACTTTCCTATGAGCTCTTAAGGTGAGCTTCTACTTTCATTGTCTAGACTGGATTTCACAAAACATCTTGAACCAAGTTTTGAGCTGGGAGCCTTCACATGCACATGTCAAGGTGTGTGTGTGTGTACAAGTCAGAGGATAACTTTCACAAGCCGGTTCTCGCCTTCCACCTTGTGGGTTCCAGAGAGCAAACTCGAGTTGGCAGGCTTGGTGGTAGCAAGCACTTTCCCCCCACTGAACCAACTCAATGGCACTATTCACTACTTTAATCAATTAACTAAAGTTGGTTTGTTTTAATCCTATCCTTTCAGTCTAAGATCTGAGCCTTCTAAGTCACATGTGCTATCTGTTTCCTCTTGGGTTATTCTTATCACCCAGTAGTGGGGGCTTGCATTGACTCTTTCTATGAAGACTGGATGTCCATGTGAAAACTTAACCTAGGATTAAGGTTCTATTATTTTCCCCCTGGAGAAAGTCTTCTGAGCTTTGCTTGATAGAGCCCTGGCTAATCAAATTACCCTAATCCAAATAGGTATTGTGTCTGATTAAGGTTATTTTTAGGCCTGATAAGCAACAAACACTACCTAATTTCCAGTTGAGAACTTGTATGCTCCACATCTTCTTCATGCTGCAGGCCCCAAACTCTAATTTTTGCATAGCAAGAAAAGCATCATTCCACAGCCTTGAACTCTCAGAGATCCTCCTGACTCTGCATCCAGGTTATTAGTTTTTAACTGTGCACGTCTTCTCAGGGAGAGTAAGTGTCCCAGGAGATGGAAATGGCCTTCAGGTGGAATCTTCAATCTACCAAAGTTTACTGATTTACTCTGTCTCCATGACAACCAACCTATTGTTTGCTCAGACTCAGCAAAGTTCTATGGGAGCAAGACAGACAATAGAACTCACTTTCATTCATCCCCAAGTGATTTTTATTCTCAGAAAGGTAGACCCACTCAGTTCGTATCATACGATGTGTTTTCTGTGGCAGAACAGTAATGGTGTCTGACCTTTAACCTGATTTTGTTTGTTTTCTCTTACCACATCATTCATGTAACCTTCGAGTGACAGGAAGCGGAGAAGATAAATAGGAGCACTTTCTTTTTCCTCCTGTTTAAAGACAGTATTGGTACTCCATGAACAGCTTAGCATGTTTACATGGTTAACTGTTCCGAGTCACCACACCCGCCCTGTATAGATGCTTCTGGAGGGATATAAGGTTAATTCCAGCAAATCTAAATAGACGAAGCACAAGAAGCATATGACCCTGTTATCCACAGGATGAGCGAAGAGTTCAGGTGATGGTGGTGAGAAAAACAGAGACATCACAACTCTAAAACATGTGATTTACGACCTGCCCAGAGGGATAAGACTAAATTCTGCTGCCTAGAAGTGAGACATAGGAGGTTTTTAGGGTACTGACTTGCTGCCTTCTCAGATTGCCAGCTCTCCAAATAAATCACAACTTAAAGATTCCGTTTCTGACTCTCCTCACTGGCTTCTGTGGAGCAAGGTAGCACAGGTTCCAGTATTCCAGCTACGTTTTGAGATCGGGTCTGGCAATATAGCATTGGCTTGCCTGGAGCTCGCTACTGAAGACCACACTGGCCTTGAACTTAAGGAGAACTTGCCAGGTTGTATCTCCTGAGTGGCAAGAATAAAGGCATGGGCCAACATGCCCAGCTAAAGAGAGATTTTTTAATTCCCCATTTTCTGTCTGAAGTTCGCTGTTTTACAGTAATATCTACATAAATATAGCAAGGTAGAATTGCACAATGTGCTTACCATGGAACATAACATAAGGCAATTATAATTCAATAAGTGTACTGCTGTTTAATCATGCACAAAACAATACTTATCTTCTATAAAGGCAACTTCATTTGATTGAAAATTTAAGATAAAAATAACTGAAATCACATTATGCATCAGAGAAGAAAGGGAAATAGCAAAATTCTACTGTTGGTTCAAAAAAAAAATCCATAGCTACCAAATGACATAAAGCAAAAAAAAGTGGTCACAATAACAAGAACTAGACTGTCAGAATCCAGAAGAAATTTCTTCAATTGGAAGGTGGGACAAACTGCAGGAAACAATCTTACACTTCAGCTTTGAGGAGGAAAGGAGAAATTTGATGCTTCTTCAGCTTGGAATGCTTTGGAAGAAGTCAGGACAGACTTCACACTGGCTGTCGCTTTTTAAAAAGATTATACGTAGCAACAGATTAACAATTTTATTTGATGGAAGAAACAACAAATTATAGGACATTTCCTCTTTAATTTTCATAAAACAACAATGGAAAATTTTAACTTTGCCATATTTGGAACACTTGCAGTCACATAAAACAAGCACTAACACTTAGGATGCTCTCAAGTGTCGTACTTGAGCATACTAATGTTCTAATGAAGGCTGTCTTGACATAAATTTGACAGAAACAAGCATGCTAAGGCCAAATAAAAAGCTATGTATTCTGGTTCACGCCTTTAATCCCAGCACTTGGGAGGCAGAGCCAGGCAGATCTCTGTGAGTTCGAGGGCAGCATGGTCTACAGAGCAAGATCCAGGACAGACTCCAAAGCTACACAGAGAAAACCTGTCTCAATAAAACCAAAACCCCCAAAAAGCTATGCATTCAAAACTTAAAAAGAAAAAGGTATATGGCAGAAACAGGCAACACAATTATACAGAAATTCAAATTCTCTTATTGGCTTTAAAGAAGAAAATAATTGAACAATTCTTATGCTACTTGAGTTATTTGTAGTTATGAGAATATTAGTCACCAAAGACATCACAATATGAGGAAAACACTTACTAAACCTGTGGTATAATGAGATGCTTCATATCAGTAGGAAAAATGAGAGCTGTTAGACCGGTGCACACGTGCAGTGCTTTTTTACACTTATTTATATAAGAGTCATTATGACAATTCTTAGATTCATTGAACCACTTTGAACACTTAACTAAATACAAAGCTGTCCCTGCAGTGTGGATTTTCCCTAATTTCCCTCCCAGTTTCCTGTAGCAACATGTTGGGGATCATGGGTTTGAGGAAATTGAACTCACCAGTCCCAGAGTCTCCAGTCAGACACACCTCATACTGGTAGCTCTGGGACAGGGTCCCAGTGCCGCTGACGTCCACCAGGTGACCAGGAAAGTGTCCCTCAGGCACAGAGCAGCCACCCAGAGAGGTCGCCCTGGCCCTCCTGCACAGCCTCACCCCCACAAACAGCAGCACAGACAA